GTCATTCTCCTTCTCTTGCTCTTCTTGCTCTTTCTCTCTCTCTTCCTCTGTCCTATTCACTGCCCATCGCTGGTTTTTTCCCTCCTCCATCCCTTTGTCCTGCTCCCTGCCCTTGTCAATCTTTCCCTTTGCTCTGCCTCCAGTCTTTCTTTGTTTTCTCCATCCCTGTCCTTTTCCCTGTACCTTTTCCTCTCTGCTCCTCAGTCCTTCTCCCTTGTCTTCTTTTTCTCTTTCTGCCATCCCTCTCTTTTTCTCTGTGACCCTCTGTGCTGTTCCCTTTCCTTTCTTTCTCCAATTATCTGTTGTCTTACCCGTCCCTCTTTCTCTGTCTCGAATGTTTCTTTCTCCATCTCTGCCCCACTCCCTGTCCCTTTTCTCTTATTCTCTCTGTCCTCCATCCTCCCCCTAACTTTTTGTCCGTATATCTCCATACCACTGCCTGCCCCATCACTATATCCTATATCCCCCTGCCCGGCTCGCTGTCCCATGATTCCCCTGCTCCCTGCCTTCTCTCTCATCCTGCAGCCCAGTGCTGGTTTTTCTTTCTCCATCTATTTATCCTGATCTGTCTTGTCCTCAATAGCCCAGTGCTGGTTTTTCTTTCTCCATCTATTTATCCTGATCTGTCTTTTGTCCTCAATCCCTCTGGCTTGTTCCCTATCTTTTTCTCTCCCTCCCGCTTCTTTATTCCTATCATTCAGTTTCTCTCCCTATCTGCCTGTTTTGCTCCCTGCTCATCATTTTTTCTCTCTTTCCCTCTGTCCTACTCCTGTGCGTAGTGCGCAAGGCTACATGTCTAGGAAGCTTCGTCTTTGTAAGAGCTGTAAGACAGCCATGTATTCTCTTCGGTGGAGGACAGCCAAGCAACCGGAGTTTCAGAAGAGGAAGGGAAGAGCGCAGGAGAAAGAAGCGTCTGAACTAGCAAATTCTTCTGGCAGCACTGAGAGCGAGAGCTGCCTGATCTCAAGATGCTGTCATGGCAGGCCGGGCCCCACTGGGCGCCCCCCCCCCCCCCCCCCTTTTTTTGGGGGGGGGCACTCCTCTGTACCTCCTTTCTCCATCTCGCTCTGAGCGGCTCCCTGTCCCCACCTTTTAGGTCCTCCCTCTCTCTGCCCTGTAGCCTATGGCTATTTTTTCCTTCTCCGTCTCTCTCTGTCCAGCTCCCAGCCACTATTTTTGCACTCCTCCCTCTTGTAGCCCATCGGTATTTCTGCTGTCTCTGTCTCTCTCCGTCTGGCTCCTTTTCCCTGTTGTTCAAGGTCTTCATTCTCAGCCCTGTAGCACATCGCGAGTCTATTTCTTTCTCCATCTCTTTTTATCCTGCTCCCTGCCCCTCATTTTGAATTCCTCCCTCTGTCCTGTCGCCCATCGCTATTTTGTCCTTTCTCCATGTCACTCTGTCTTGTTCCCTGTCCCTGTTTTCCTAAGTCTTCCCTGTGTGCCCCCTAGCCCGTTGCAATAGTCTTCTTTCCCCATCTCGGTTTGTTTGGCTCCCTGTCCCACTTTCTTCATTCCTCCCTCT